GCAGGCGGATCTCTGTGAGTTCAAAGCCAGCCTGGTCTACATGGTGAGTTCCAGGCCAGCTGGGGCTACAGGGAGACCCCGTCTCAAAAAAGACCAAAAATAAAGAATAAAATAAAATTAAGCTTTCTGTCCCCCCACCCAAGAAATCTGAATTAGAGGCGGGAGAGATGGCTTTGCAGTTAAGAGCAATGGCTACTCTTACAGAGGACCTCTGTTCAGTTCCTTGCATCCACATGGCAGCTAATAACCATCAATAACTCCAGTTCCAGGGGATCTGACACCTTCTTCTGGTCTCTGAAGGTATTGCATGACATGGGAGCACTTAAATACATGCAGGCAAAACATTCACTCATACACATAATTTTTTTTTTAAATAATAAAAAGAAACCTGAAAAGATGTCAAGGTCTCACTCTATAGCCCTGGCTACTGGGATCAAAGGCGTGCGCCACCACACCTGGCTATGCCCTGACTTTTTCAGATATTTTTTGTATTTCCTTTCTTGAGACAGGGTCTAAGTTACCCAAGCTGATCCTGAACTTTCAATCCTCCTGTCCCAGCCTCCCAAGTAGCTGGTATTACAGGTGTGCACTGCTAAACTTGGCTGAAATCTGAAAAGTTCCCCCAACCAGTTTGTTCAGAAGTCATAAACCTTGGGTTTTGACTTCCATGTGTCTCCCAGGTAAGCTCCACAACAGTCAGTCTTCTCCAGGCATGACTGTAAGTAGAATGTGCTGACACAATGGCAGGGCACCAGGTAGATGCTTATTCATATCATACCATTTGATGCCACAAAACTCTACTACAGGATCTACTTCTGAGATGGTCACTGAGGCTGAAGCAGTGGAGCACTGAGTTAAGAGTCACCAGATGAAACAGTGGCAGTCTGGTGACAGACCAGTCTCTTCAATAGCACCTGCTTCCTTGTTCTGTATTCATAAATGTTCCACTTCCTGTCTCTGCATTTCAAGCTGCAGCCACTAGCCAGGCTGGGTATGTTTCTTTGCCCAGGTACCTTTGACTGTGTTCATGCCTGTATCACTGTTATTCCACTTTCCTTTCAGCAACCATAGGGGTTATCCTCTGCCAGTCAGCTTCGCTGCACTGTCCTGCTTCCATGTGAAGGCCTGTTGGTTGACTGGGCCTCCTTTCCACTCACTTTCAAATACTAAAGAGTCTCTGACCTGGGGGTCCAAGGTCAGCCCTCCAGCTGGATTATTTCTAAGGATTTCCTCTCTGCTGGTGATATTTAATTGGGTAAGATCAACCTACAATATACACGAAAATAGCACCAGCTTTCCTCCACCCAAACAGGAACTACCAATAGCACAACAGCTCTTGCAGAGATGAGGTGTGGAAAGATGGGAGAAACTGACAAAGGATTTAAAAAGTTTTAAATATTTTATTTTTATTATTTTTATTTTATGTGTACGAGTACAGGTATGTGAGTGTACCTATGCATGCAGTGTCCATGGAGACCAGAAAAGGGTGTCAGATTCCCTAAAACTAGAGTTAAGGATGGCTGCTAGCCACCATGTGGATGCTGGGAACTGAATCCTGGACCTCTGCAAGAGCAGCCAGTACTCTTAATGGCTGAGCCATCTCTCCAGCCCCAACACAGGATTTTTAAAAAATAGAGAAAAAGAAGTCTTTACTTCTGTCATTTTCTTCCCCCAAACTCATAACCCCAGTCTAATCATGAAACATCAGGCAAATCATATATGAGCATTGGTCCCTACAATTTTCAAAGTCATCAAGAACAAGGAAAACCTCAGAAACTGTCACAGCTAAGAGGAGACATAATAAGGAAGTGTAACTCGGCATCCTGGATGGAACCTTGGAATAGACAGAACAGACAAAGCTCGCCAAATGCAGTCTAAGGAAATTCTAATATAGTTAATCACAACGCATCAATATTAACTGTAGTAAATATGCCATACTAATGTAAGATGGTCATAATGGACAAACTTGGTAGAATATTTAGTGCTCTACCGTATTTGTAATTTTTCTCTAGATCTAAAACTTTTCTAAAGTGAAACGTACATTTTTTTAAAAAGCACAGGTCATGTGATAAAGTGCTATTGTGTGATTTTACTGGGCTGCTGATAAGTGTTTTCTTCTTTATAAAAACCTTGAACCGCACATGCCACCCTCTCCTCTGGGGAGCTTTGTAGACAAGCACACACTGGTTTTTATTGTTCCTGCTGATTCAGGTGACAATGGGTTTATGATTCCTGTGTTGCCCAGTAATGAGATCTGGATGGGGAACAGCTTGCTAAAGGTCACTAGAATGGGGTGTTACTGGGTGTGGAGTTGTTTACCTCTCACAATTCCCTTAGAAGCTGGGCAGAGAAAGCCGTTTAGATTAATTCAACTCGACTCAGTTCAGCAGATGGTAACTTGCACCTATTATGCATGGCAAGTACTGGGAATCTGAAACAGAGGATTGAGTTTCCTACTCAAGTCCAGTTGGTGCAGTTGGAGAGAGACAATTCCACTGGGACAATTTACAGTGGGAGGTGTGGAGGGTGTGGAGGAGTGGGGTGTGGTCAGGAGGGAGGAGGTAGGACACCTCACCAGAGGGGAAGGAGTTATTTAGCTTCAGGGCAAAGTCTGAGCCTGAAGTGCAGGAGCACTTGGAGTAGGAGAAAAAGTCTTAGTTGTGCAGGGGCTATGCACCTTCTGATTTCTCAGAGCTCTGAGGCTTTTCTGAAGTTACTTGGTACCAGTAGTGGGACTACAGCAAAGCAGTGTTCTTGGCAGGACATAAATCTTATATTCAGTGGTCCAGTTTCTGTGAGAACATGAAAGGGATTTGATACACACAAGCAACAAAATCACAGCCCAAGAAAATGGGCATACTGTTGTGCCTCTAAGGTAGAAATGGCAGATTCGTGTAGGACTTTCCAGACTGTAAAAGGCTAGCACCTTAGGGGGCTAGGCACAGTCCTGAATATTCTGTTTATGACCTTAGAACTGATTAGCAAATGGAGACAGTGGGGACAAAGGGTTCTTTCTTATACCCTTGGCTAGAAGACCAAGGCATTTTTTTCTTTATATGAGTCAGATTTGAGAGACACTCTTCTAGGACCCCTTCACCTCTGTGAGACTTGGCAAGTCATATTCTCCTCAGGCCTTGGATCAAGGCACTGGGAAACACTCATTTTGCCAACACAAAGTTTACCTTCTTTCTTCACTATTGGGTCATTACAATTAGAAAAGCAAATTTCTAACCTGGAGGCTCCAAGTCAGTTGTCGGTTCCTCCAAGCAGCTGTCTGGGCCTCTTACCTTCCCTTCTTTCCTGATGTGTGTGTCACATACCCCAAGAGTAGAATCCTTCCCTTTACAGACTTTTCTAAACACAGAAAAGAAACTACCTGCTTGGTTTTATTCAGCACTTGATGTGGTCTCAGGCAACAAGTTGCTGATAAATTATACCAGTAATTGAGTCTTTGGGGGGAACAGATTTTTAATAACTTTTC